TATATGTATATAATTTGTATATATTATATTATAAATATTATTTTAATTATTTACTTACATCATCCAGTATACGAAAGTAACATCTACAGCTGATAATATAAGAAATGGATAACGTTCTACGTATAATGTTGCAACGAGTGGCCAGAAACCATTAACGAATAACATAAACCAATGAGAATCTGCGATTGTCATTGTTATTAAGAAAATAATCAATAATAATATCAATATACACTGTTGACGAAAATATTTCGAAAAATTCATTGGTACATTAAGTTGTTCCATTTTTCGTATACAAGTTTCCAATTGCACGGTGAATTGTTTTATTTTCTATTAGAAATATAATAAAAGATGTAAAATAACTTGTTAATATGATACAATTTTTATTGATGAAATAAATGAAAAAAAAAAAAAAAAAGGTTTTTACCTTTCTTCTGAGAATTCCAGCAAGTATGGTGACAATTTGAAATATGTAATCGCTATAAACGTATAACTTATATGTTAATTGTATCATAAACGGTTGTTTAACTTGAAGTATTTTCGATGGAAATGAAATAAAGTTAGCCATAATAACGTAAATGATAGAAGAAATGAAACCATAGATCATTCCTATTGCGTTCATTTTATTATTGGTAAAATATTCTATAAGACCAGTAGCCAAAATCGAATTCATTATTATCAATGGTTTGATACTCTGACGAAATTCAATTGACAATGACATATTTATTTGAAAATTCGAAATAAGAATATTTACACAAATATTTTAATATTATATATTAAAGAAAAAAAGTTGATAGAGAAACTATTCGAATTATAGAACACACATTCTTTGTTAAAGTTTACTATGACACTAAGAAGACAATTCACAATTGCATTATAATCCTATATGTTACATTTGTATTGGTTATCATCAAACTGACCACTTACGTTCGTGTTAAAAGGAATTAGAAAATGTAGTACTTTTTACTTATTTAGTATTACGATCGTTAGATGCAATTGACTTAGGTACTGGTATTACTTTGTTAAATTAATATGAAATTATTCATTGTACACAGATATTATCTTTTCTCGTTCTATTTTCTCGTATCTATTATCATTCTGTTTGTTTCTTTTTTTTTCTTTCTTTTATTAAGATAGAAAAGGTCGGATAGGTATAATAATAAAGAACACATCGTTAGATAAATTAGTTTAATAGTTAAATCAATTTTTTAAAAACAATTTTGTTAGATACTTGATGTTAAATTATAATTAGTATTGTTGAATAATAGATTAGGTTTATCTCCAACTTGAATAAGTATAACGAGGTAGGTTGTCTACCGTGAAACCGATTGTCTAAAATGAATTAATTTTTCAAATTCAAATTTGTAATTAAATGAAAAATCAAATCAATAAGATGATTTTGAACTAACACCATATATAAATGAATGATCCAAATTGTAGAATCCGTTAGCGGTAAAGGTCAAACGATTTTGAGTTAGTTGAAATATAAAATTGTTAATCTGAAAAGAAACATATAATTAGTTTACAAATATTAATTATTTTTGCTGTTTCCTTACTTCATCGCGAAATTTTTGATTGGTCGATGGTTCGTACAATTCGCAAAGAATGTCTCCGGTTATTACAGCATATAGAAAAAATCAATCAAAATAATATCAATATTTGTTGTATACTTACTATAATAATTAGACGAAAATTTTGGAACATTTTCTTATTTTTTTTCAAAATTATTCATTTTTCGAGTTATCGGTGATATGTAAC